GCCGAATGACATCTCGCGTTGAATTCTCAGCTGTGAAAGTTTCATCCAATGTGCTGGCATCTTGTGCGTATCGAACCCTGAACCACCTCACTTTGTAACTGTTTGAGATCGTACCATAACATACACAATCACCATTATGTCGGGTCGAGGTGTGGGGCACCCGGGGTGGGTGATTGCCCTTTTAGATTGAAATGAATTAATTAACAACTTAAAATCATGTGATTTAGGTAAGTAGTCGTTGTACAACTTGATAAATTCAAAGCACTTCTAATTATCAATTTTATATCACAAATCTTTATCATTTTGAAATTCGATTTTTGAGATTCAATGTAACATTTTGCATGATCTATATTTGTATATTATATTTATTAAAGACCATATTTGAGTCGCAATCGGCCTAAACTTCCTTAATACGCCGTAGATGAGGCACATTCCCAAATCCCGTACACGAACTTTGGATCACTTTTTTATGCTGGAATGCGGAGTCACCTCCACTAGGCACTGGCCCTCCAAAATCCGAATCTGAATAGAGTGGTGCAATTTATGACTCTTTTCTTATTGACTGAATCGGAATACGTTTAAATTTATAATGTATTTTTGTTTTTTGGAATTCTTCTAAACATATTATAATATTGTTCTATTATTATGTATTTTTGTTAGAAGTGGTTAAATTGATTGAATCTATTAAATTATTAAAAAATTGCATTTAAAATATATCATTAGTAAATAAATTAAGAAAAATTACATGAAAATAGATGAAATTATCTTCTAATGCAATTTCAGCTAATCCAACAAAAAACAACTTTATCCTTACTTATTTTGATTATTAATAAATTTTGATTATAAAATAATTCAGCGCAAAGTCAAAGCTATTACTCCCTCCGTCCCGTTGGAATGTTCCCGCTTTCCTTTTTTGGATGTCCCAAAAAGAAGTTCCCATTTCCCTTAATGGAAAGTTATCCTACATCAAAACAGTGTCAAACAGTGCAAAACTGTGCCAAGCAGTGCCAAACAGTGTCCAAACAGTGTCAAAACAGTAAAATTTACCCCCTGATAAGTTTATTTCCTTAATATGTGTGTAGGTCAAACCGAGAACATTCCAACGGGACGGAGGGAGTATTTGATAAGAAAAATTGGCTGATACAAGTGATACGCAAAAAATAGGTGCTAGCAAACGAGTTCTAAATCTTTTAAGGGGTAAAAAGTTGAATTAAAATGTGTTTTCAAATAGCTAGCACGGTATAAAGCAATTCTTCCGTCCTTAACAATATTTTCAAACATTTTTGTCAGTTTTCATCACACGACCCAATCTTTCTTATCAATCTATTTTTTATATAATAATCAAAAGAAAAAAATCCATCAACATTACTCTTTAGAATGTGATGAAGACAAATATTACTTAGTACTACCTCCGTCCCCCAAAGTTTGGGACAAGAGAAGGTGGCACGGTTATTAATAAAATTAGGTTTATATGGTTGATATTGAATTGATAAAGTAAGAATAAAGTAAAAATGATTTAAAACCACACAAATTTTACCAAATAAGGTATGAGACAATCTTAGTGGGACGGACCGAAAAGGTAAAATGGGACAATTATAGTGGGACGGAGGGAGTAACTATTACTGATTATAATTGTTTTTAAATTTACATTATAGTAATACAAATAAGTTATTACCATGTAAACTTTGAACACATTTATTATATCTTTCTTCCAATTTTGTTGCATCATTTTTTTTCCAGTAAATACTACAGAAATTTTAACGAGCGTGTTGCGTGCTCCTTATTGAGCACGTAGTACAGCTCGCTAGTCCGTATTAGGCTTAATATGAGTATTTGTTGAGTTTTTTTAGTGAATAATTGTTAAGTTAAAATATACGGAGTACTAGTACTCATTAGTTGGACACTACTGACCCACTTAGAAGAGTTTTCAATGTTAGAGTTTTCAAACATGGATAAATTAAAGTATAAAATTTTATTCTTTGTTTAAAGGTTATATTGACAAATGATATTTTTAACACAAAAATATTTAAAGTATGAAAATTACATGGAGTTGTTCTTTGTTTTTTTGGCAAATGGCATTATTCTTTCCTAAAAAACTTTTATAAAAGTATAAAAATGTAAATTTCCCACAAATATAATAACAGGCTAGGAGTCCGTTTGATAATAGTAAAATTGGCTAAATTGACTGATTCTGCTGAAATTAATGAATTTTAGCCAAAGTGATTGAATTAGTCATTTCTGCTTCTTCATGAAAATCATATTTAAAATACTTTTTTCAAGGATGTGATAAGAAAATTTCAGACCTAAACAGACTAAGCGAGATTAGAAAATTTCAGTCACTCTAAAAACATCTCAAGTCATGTGATAAGAATATGAAAGTTTCAAAGATGTTTATAACTGGGTTGAAATTTTTCAGATCCGATCACTTTAAGTTTGAAATTTCTAGTCTTGTCTGTCCTGAACTAGACGGTAGATGTTTGTTCTATGTGTATTTAACAACTGTCAAATTATAATCTCTTCTGATATGTTTACATTTGATCTAATCTGATTTGCAACGGGAACCAATTCAACTAAAAATACCCTTAGTGTCTTCTCGGGCCTACCAATTTTAGCATAAAATTGGGACTGGAAACAATTATTAGACGACTAAAGTGTAGTTCTTAATTGAAATTTAAGCAATAATTAATATAATGTTACAACATAAGAAAAAAGACTACAAACAATTTTGGATGTTTTCTTTTGGACTGAAATTTGCTGGTCTGGTCTGGTCTGGTCTGATCTGGTCTGGTCTGTTTAAGTCTGATCTGGTCTGGTCTGGTCTGGTCTGGTCTGGTAAACGTCTGGTCTCAGTGTATTTTATAACTGTCCAAGTCTGGTCTGGTCTGGTCTGGTCTGGTCTGTTTAAGTCTGGTCTGGTCTGGTCTGTTTAAGTCTGGTCTGGTCTGATCTGGTCTGGTCTGGGACTGAAAACAGTCCAAAAGAAAACATCCTTTATCGTTTTGATATATGCAACAACAAATATAAACAGAAAAAAATAATATATTAACACATTAATTTAATTATATTGATATATGTAATTTCTTAAGGAGTTTTCTATTTTAATGGAACTTTTCTATTTTAATGGAATTAATGGAACTTTTCTATTTTTTATAAGAATTTTATTTATTTAATAAGAATTATTTATAATCAAATAATTAAGTTATTTGATTAGATGTGACGATTCTATCATTCACACATGTTAATGTGTGTATAAAAAATCCAAAAAATAACAATAATTATCGTATTTATAATTTGACAATTGTAAAATACACATAGAACAAATATTTACCGTCCAATTCAGGCCAGTCGAGACTAGAAAATTTCATACATAAACTGATCGGATCTGAAAATTTTCAACCCAGTTATAAACATCCTTGAAACTTTCATATTCTTATCACATGACTTGGGATGTTTTTAGAGTGACTGAAATTTTCTAATCTCGCCTAGTCTGTTTAGGTCTGATTTGGTCCGGTCATCGATTACCAGATAGAAAACTTCAATCTTAGATCCCATTTGGTGACCTTGTTTTTTTGGCTTATTTTCCGAAATTTTGTAATAATAAGAAAAAGTAAGGTTGAAGTTATTTTTATGGCTATATTGACTGAAGTTGCTGTAGAGGAACATTTTAGTTATTTTTCGTATAGTTTTTTCTTTATTTTATTAATAAAAAGTATTTTAAATATAATTTTTCATGAATAAGCAGAAGCAACTAATCCAGTCACTTCGGCTAAAACTTCATGAATTTTACACTTTTATACTTTTGTAAAAGCTTTTTAGGACAGAATAATGTTATTTGCCAAAAAATAAAGAATAACTCCATAGAATTTTCATACTTTAAATATTTTTGAATTAAAAATATTATTTTTCAATATAACCAAATTTTATACTTTATCAATGTTGAAAACTCTAACATTGAAAACTCTTCTAAGTGGGCCAGTGGCGTCCAACTAATGACTACTAGTACTCCATATATTCTAACTTAAGAAATATTTCTTAAAAAAAAAATCACTCAAAATAAAAAACTCAACAAATACTCCATTACTCGTATTTAACTATTAAGCCTAATACGAATTGGCTAGCCGTACTACGTGCTCAATAAGGAGCACGCAACACGCTCGTTAAAATTTTTGGTAAACACTACGGAGTATTTTATTTGCAACATTTCCGAGTCTACTATATTTTGTGACTCACATCCTTTACACTTTAGTTACCATACTCATTATTGTTCATACCGAGTATTTTTTCTATAATTAAAAAATATACACATGATGTTTTCTTTTGAGCTGTTTTCAGTCCCAGATCAGACCAGATCAGACCAGACTTCCGTAGTTATAAAATACACATAGACCATACGTTTATCAAATCAGACCAAACCAGATCAAACCAAGAAATTTCAGTCCAAAAAAAGCATCATAAGATGAATATATAAAGAGTAACTAAAAAACACAATAATATTATCCCTGAAAATGTGATTGACAAAAGGTGATTTAATAAACTGCAAACACAATTATAGAACTAATACCCCGTTTCTACTATCTTATTTTTTTCAAATTTGGTAAAATTTGTATATTCTAAATAATTTTTACTTCATTTTTATTTAATCAATTCAATATAATCACATAAATTCACTTTTCTAATAATCGTACTACCTATTCGCATCCTGGAGTGAGGGTAAAGATAATTTAGGAAAAACCTCTTAATATTTTAGGGAAAGCATCCTAATTAAATACTCCCTCCGTCCCCTTTTAAATGGGACGGGAGATGGTGGCACGAGTTTTAAGAAAAGTGAGTTTGTGTGGTTGATATTAATTGATAAAGTAAGAATAAAGTAAGAATGATTTTGAGCCACACAAAGTTTACCAAATAAGGTATGGGGCAATTAAATAGGGACATCCCAATATGGTAAAACGGGACATTTAAAAGGGGACGGAGGAGTACTTCTCATATTGGCGCTAGTATTTCGAAGCGAAAAAAGCAGAATCACACTACTATTTAACCACGCTAATTGGCTACAGTTCCCTATCCGACATTAGTGTTGATGATGAAGACTATGGAAGTTGACAAGCTAATTTGGTCTGGTAAAAGACCGTACATGTGTAATCATCTTCTTTAGCGAGAGTACTCAGCTCTTTCTGCTTGTACACTCGTTTCAAGTAGTACTCGACGGTGGCAGAATTGTTAGCCGCGACAGCCTCTGTTTAGCCTGTGAGCCTCCGTTTACCGGTCGTATAAACTCACTTTAGTTGTTTCTTGAGCAGTTTGGTTTATAGCTTTTTTTATCTTCTGGTCGTGCCTTTTGTTCATGGACATTCTCATGAATTCGATGTGTGTGGGTTGTGAAACCTGGTATATATATTGCGGGCACATCCTTTAAAACTTTTATTGCATCAATTTGGCTCAGGGTACCTTGATTGGGGGATTTATTTAGCTTTTTGTGATGATGGGCAGTTCATCTACTTGCCAAATTAAGAATAAAAATGATGATGGGCCGTGTTGGAAGTGTATGTATGTTTTCCTTGATCAATGGGCTGCCTATCTAATTATGATCAAGTGTATGTGTAAACTGTGAAGTGAGGAAATTCTTTGGAAACTCTTCAGGAACTCCCCAAACACTCTTTTACTGTTTCCAGTTTCCCCATGCTTCTTACATCTTTGTGGAACATAATATATGAATGTGATGTAAACCTGACCTCTTGCGTATCCTTTTAATATGAAACTATGAATTACGCCAAAAATTAACATGTGTTATTGTTTGACACGTTTTTTTATTTTATCATTATAAGTTTGTTCATGTTTAAATCTATGTTCTTACACTTGCCACATTTTGTTTGCAAGAGTTTGAAGCTGCTGGTGTGGAGATTAGTATTAGTTACTAGTTGAAATTTGTCAGTATGGTCAGGACAAAAACAGTTCAAAAACATGTGTTGGAGGTATTGGTCCTACCAAGGCCTCCCTTCCACTTTATTTGTTGAGGCTTGCACACTCTATTTTTACTCTCTCTTGGATACCTATTCTTTGGTATATATCCTGATCAAATATATACCTATTAGAGTTGACTTTCCCAGTTGGCTGGCCCCTTTGATTGCTGTCCGCTGCATCCATCTTTTGTCTTGGCTCCTACATGTGACTTTGCCTTGTCTTTGTAGCATGTGAGTGTTTGTTGTTTTGACCTCACCCGTGACTCCTCTTCTATGCTGGCAGCCTACTATTTAAAGTCCTTGCTTCTTCCCTTGTTGAAGCAGCCTGCGTGAGTTTAGTATCCCAGAGAGCAGAGCTCCCTTTCTTCCTCCTTTGTGTGAGAATAGATAGGTCCTTAGTGGAGAGTAATACTTGGGTGTGCTATAGCTTCCTCTTAGTGTGGTGTGTGAGAGTGTGTGTGTTGAAAGACCTGAGCCGGAGACGGAAGAAACGATCCTTACAGTGGTATCAGAGACTGGAACCGCCGTCTGCCGCCGTCCGCCGCCGCCGTCCGCCGCCGCCGTCGATTGGAGCTCGCCGAAGGTCCAAGAGCTGCCTGGTCGTTCTCACGAGCTCGCCGATTTCCCTATTCGCTGAAATCGACGGAAGCTCGCCGCCGGAAACCACCATAACCAGATTCCAGAAGCTCGCCGTCGCCTGGGAGGTCTGCCACCGCCGCCGGAGAATCTGCCGCTCCGCCATCAAAGTCACTGGAGCCCTTCTTCGTTTTTTCGCTCGACGCCTGGGTTGCTGAGGTCGTTCGCAGAAGGCAGGAGGCGCGTTGAAGGAACGAAAAGCACTGCTACGCTCCTTCTGCTTCGGGTTCGCTGAGGATAGAGACGAAGAGTGTGGGCCCTGTACTTTTGTATCCTGGACACTGGTCTGTACGCAGAGAAACTGGAGCAGGCTATTTGGGCCGAGTCTAACTGCTGGAAGGATGGGCTGACTTAGGCCAGTTGGACTGCTCCTGGAGCTGAAAAGGCTACTGGACTGGTAGAGCAGTCTAATTAAGCTCTGGGCTGTTGGGCCTTTCTTCTCTGGGCCGCTGGACCTGGGGAATTACTGGGGCTAAGTTGCTGATTTGTTGGACCTGGAGCTGGAACCGGTCAACGCCGGTCAACGGCAGTCAACCCCTCCAGAAAAATCCCAATTTTTTTAAAATTGGGTAGGTAAGGTCGAAACGCTCTCCTAGGGTTTCGCGAAGGTAAGTTTTCTGTAAACTTCCCATTTGTTACATTCCGGTTTTAATTTAATTTAATTTTATTCCCCCTCCCCGCGGGCCGCCGGTTGATTTAATCCCGGCCGCCAACCCCCCAGGTACGTTCTAAACCTTCTCCTTTGTGGTTGACTGTTTTAGTTAATTAATTAAATTGCTAAGTGTTATTTAAATTAATTGTTATGCGTAGGGGTGGTTTATTGGGTGGTAGGGGTAGAATTAACTAAATTTAATTTTCTGCCCGGAATTGTTTAATTGCCAAAATGTCCATTTTTTGCTATGTGTTGCCTGCTGCCCGGGGTTATTAAAGTGAATACTTTATAACCCGGGTTGGATTTTTTTTCTGTCATTTCTATCTGTTTAGCTTTGTGTTCCTTTGTGGTTGATACCATGGCTGCGAATCAGTATGGTATGCTTCCATTTAATGGAAAAACAGATTTTGATATTTGGAAACAGAAAATTAAGTGTGTGTTAATACAGCAAAAAGTTTTCAGAGCTGTCACTGGTATTTTCCTTGAATCAGAAGATAAGGCTAAGCAAATTGAAATGAACGAAACTGCTTGTTCTACTATTTACTTGAATCTGTCTGATTCTGTGCTTAGGAAAGTGGGTATTCTTGAGTCCGCTAAGGAGTTGTGGGAGAAATTGGATAGTCTCTATACTGATACCTCTTTGCCCGGGAAGTTGTTCTTACTAGAGAAATTCTTTAGGTTTAGGCTTGACCTGACTAAGGATATAGATGAGAACCTGGATGTGTTTAATAAACTGATACAAAATATCAAACAGGCAGGTGATAAACACATAGATGATTACACTCCCATAGTATTACTTAATGCCATTCCCGACTCTTATAATGATGTTAAGTCCGCTATTAAGTACGGTAGGGATGAGATTTCATTAGACATTGTGGTGAATGGGTTAAGGAGTAAGGAATTAGACCTGAAGCATGCTAGGGGTAGTGCTAGTCAGTCCAGGGACTCCGGTGAGGCTATGTTTGTTAGGGGTAGATCTAAGGGTAGGTCTAAGAACTCTAAGCAAAATAGTCAGGGTAAGAACACTAGTCAGCCTGGGAGGAAGAGGAGCAAATCTAGGAAGAGAGTGTGTTACAATTGTGGTAACACTGGCCATTTCATTAAGGATTGCCCCCACCCTAAGAAGACCGAGCATGCTAGTGTAGCTGTTGATAAATGTGACCTTGGTGATATTTTGATGGTTTGTGACCATGTTAATTCTGTGAGAAATTCCCTGTCTGAGCATGAATGGTTGATTGACTCTGGTTGTACCTATCACATGTCCCCCTTTAGAGATTTATTTTCTACTTATGAATTATGTGATAGTGGCTACGTTTCCTTAGCTGATAATAAGAGATGCAATGTGCTTGGTGTTGGTGATATATGTCTGAAGTTTTCTTGTGGCTCTGTGTTTACCATTAAGAATGTGAGGCATGTCCCTGATTTGTGTCATAACTTGTTATCTGTTGCTGCTTTGGAGAGTAGTGGGTTACAGGGAAAATGGGGGAATGGTTGTATGAAAATCCTGAAAAACTCGCTTGTTTTGTTTAAAGCTGAGAAGGTGAATAACCTTTATGTGTGTCATGCTAAACCTTTTGTTGAGTCTGTGAATGTTGTATGTTCTGATAAGACCTCTTTGTGGCATAATAGGCTAGGACATATGAGCAATAAGGGTTTAGATGTCATGCGTAGGGCTGGTTATTTTGGTAAGGACTCTGTGACTTCTGTGCCTTTTTGTGAATCATGTGTGTTAGGCAAGCAGCATAGAGTCAGTTTTCCTCCTTCCTCTTACCCTAATCTGTCTAAATGTTCGTCTGTGCTTGAATATGTTCATGCCGATGTTTGGGGTCCTGCCAGTGTTCCTACCCACGGGGGTAGGAAATATTTCCTTTCTATCATTGATGATTTCTCTAGGAAGGTGTGGGTTTGCCTTTTAGAACACAAGTCTGATGTGTTTGTGAGGTTTAGGGAGTGGAAAACCCTAGTTGAAAACCAAACTGGCAGGAAGGTTAAGACCCTTAGGACCGATAATGGGTTAGAGTTCTGTAATAAGGAGATGGATAAGTTGTGTGTGGATTGTGGGATAAAAAGGCACAAAACTGTGCCTTATACTCCCCAACAGAATGGGATAGCAGAGAGAATGAATAGGTCTCTGTTGGATAAGGTTAGAAGCATGTTAGCTACCTCTGGTTTGTCTAAGAAATTCTGGGGTGAAGCAGTCACTACTGCTGCCTATTTGGTTAATAGGTCCCCGTCTGTCCCTCTTGGTGGTAAGTGTCCTGAAGCCGTCTTTACCGGTAAGCCTCTTGATCTGTCTAACCTTCGGGTGTTTGGTTGTGCAGCGTATGCACACCAACAGGGTGACAAGTTGGATCCTAGGTCTAAGAAGTGTGTCTTCCTAGGTTATCCAGAGGGGGTAAAGGGTTACAGGTTATGGGATAGGAACCAGGTAGGCTTTAAAGTGGTCCTTAGCAGAAATGTGGTGTTCAATGAAACTGATTTTCCTTGCTTGACCGAGTCTGTTTCTAATCTTGAGTCTAGGTCTGATAGTACTCCTAGTGAGGTGGAGTCTGTCCCTGTTGCTGCTAGTCCTTTATCTGTTGATCCTGTTATCTCTGATGATATTGTTATGCATGATTCTGATTCCTCTGAGCATGATAGTCCCACCACCTCGAGTGAGGTGGAGCATTTGCATGATACTGAGCATGATTTGCATGATATGGGTGCTGAATCTGATTTTCATGATAACAATAATTTGCATGAGTTGCATGTGGAGCCTAGTAGTGATAATTTGCATGATTATCAACTTGCTAGAGATAGGAGTAGAAGGGCTATCAGGAGAACTGCTGATATTATGCCTGATTATGCTTTCATTGTGCATGATACTTCTATGTTTGCATTCTCTGTGTTTGAATCCCTAGAGCTGAATGAACCCAAGACCTACCGTGAAGCCTTAGGTTCCAAAGAGTCTCAGAAATGGATCAGTGCCATGAAAAGTGAGATGGACTCTTTGAGAGTGAACCAGACTTGGACCCTTGTACCTAGACCCCCCAACTGTTCGGTAGTTGAGTGTAAGTGGTTGTTTAAGGTTAAGGAAGAACCTAGTGATGTTAGGTTTAAGGCTAGGTTGGTTGCGAAGGGGTTTACTCAAAAAGAGGGGGTAGATTATGCAGAAATCTTTGCTCCTGTTGTTAAATTCACCACTATTCGTATGATGCTTGCTTTAGTTGCTCACCATGACTGGGAAATGAAACAGATGGATGTAACTACTGCATTTTTGCATGGTGAATTGGATAAAACAATTTATATGACCCAGCCTGAGGGCTTTGTGGATCCCAAGAGAAGTGAGCATGTCTGTTTGCTTAGGAAGGCTTTGTATGGCCTGAAGCAATCCCCTAGGCAGTGGAACATCAAATTTGATAAATGCATGATATCTTTGAAGTTCCAAAAATCTGTTTGTGATCATTGCCTGTATTTCAAAAATACTTCTTCTGTGCCTGTATTTTTGTTACTCTATGTGGATGACATGCTGATAATTAGTCCTTCTCTGAATGCTATTAAAGATGTGCAGAAATGTCTTTGTGCGAATTTTGCCATGAAAGACCTAGGTGATGCCAAGAGGATCCTAGGCATAAACATTGTTAGGGATAGGAGTAAGCGTACTCTTACTTTGAATCAGATTTCTTACATAGAAAAAGTTTTGAGTAAATTTAATATGTTATCTGCTTCTCCTGTTAATGTCCCTATGGCATCTCACTTTGTGTTAAGTAAGGACCAGTCTCCCAAGACTGCTCCTGAAATTGAGAAAATGAAATCTGTGCCTTATTCCAGCGCAATAGGGTCGGTGATGTATCTTATGGTTAGCACTAGACCTGATATTGCATATGCGGTTAGTTGCTTGAGTAGATATATGTCCAACCCTGGTTTGCCTCATTGGAATGCTCTTAAGTGGTTGCTTAGATATCTGATTTCTACTGTGAAGCATGGATTAATTTTCTCTAAGTGTGCTAGTGGTATTGAATTGATTGGTTATGTTGATTCTAACTATGCAAATGATAGAGATAACAGGAAGTCGACCACTTCTTATGTTTTTACTTTGTGTGGCTCTTGCATTAGTTGGAAGTCTCAACTACAGCCTATTGTGGCCCTTTCTACCACTGAGTCCGAGTATGTTGCAGCCACAGAAGCGTTTAAGGAAGCCATCTGGCTCAAACGCCATGTCTCCGAAATTGGGTTTCTCAAAAAGGGAGTTACCATTTTCTCGGATAGCCAATCGGCTATCCAACTTTGCAAAAATCCTGTATTTCATGATAGAACTAAGCATATTGATGTTAGGTTCCATTTCATACGTGATATTGTTGATGCAGGTGGAGTCAAGCTGTGCAAGATCCCGTCCGAGTTTAACCCCGCGGATATGGGTACCAAGTGTCTTTCTGCTGAGAAACACTTGTCCTGTAAACGCGTGTTAAACTTTGACTGTGGATAACTGTGGGTTGCCTAATAAAGTGTTTGCCCGTTGTGTCTGTTGATATTCCGGGTGACCCGGCGATGATGAGTCTTGTCACAACTTTGTTTTGTTACTCTACACCACCTAGGACCAATAAGGTGGAGAATGTTGGAGGTATTGGTCCTACCAAGGCCTCCCTTCCACTTTATTTGTTGAGGCTTGCACACTCTATTTTTACTCTCTCTTGGATACCTATTCTTTGGTATATATCCTGATCAAATATATACCTATTAGAGTTGACTTTCCCAGTTGGCTGGCCCCTTTGATTGCTGTCCGCTGCATCCATCTTTTGTCTTGGCTCCTACATGTGACTTTGCCTTGTCTTTGTAGCATGTGAGTGTTTGTTGTTTTGACCTCACCCGTGACTCCTCTTCTATGCTGGCAGCCTACTATTTAAAGTCCTTGCTTCTTCCCTTGTTGAAGCAGCCTGCGTGAGTTTAGTATCCCAGAGAGCAGAGCTCCCTTTCTTCCTCCTTTGTGTGAGAATAGATAGGTCCTTAGTGGAGAGTAATACTTGGGTGTGCTATAGCTTCCTCTTAGTGTGGTGTGTGAGAGTGTGTGTGTTGAAAGACCTGAGCCGGAGACGGAAGAAACGATCCTTACAGCCACATTTTGTTTGCAAGAGTTTGAAGCTGCTGGTGTGGAGATTAGTATTAGTTACTAGTTGAAATTTGTCAGTATGGTCAGGACAAAAACAGTTCAGGTGTTTGGTTTCCCTCATCTTGTAACTGCAAGTGATGCTAAGAGATGCTTTGAGAGGTATACTGGTGTAAGTTCTGTGTATGCCATTGAGGTAAAGATGGCTAAAAAGGGTGGAAGAGCATATGCTAAGGTCCAATTTGATAAAGCCACCAGTGCAGAACTAATTATAGCTCTTGCCAGTCAAAAGAGATTGTACTATGGCTCATCTTACTTGAAAGTTTGGGAGCTAGATGCCTATATTGTGCAACCTAGATCATACATCCATGACATGAAAAACACAACTCTATGCTTTGGGTGCCAAATATCAGATGAACGGTTTTACAGGTTATGTAGACTGGAAGATGTTTCAATAGAATTTGGGTATGGGTTGAAGAAGATACGCTTCTTTCTATCATATCGCTCTTTCCAATACAAGCTTCAACTTTCATATGAACACATTTGGCAGATCATGCTGTATAGATCCCCCGCCCAAAACGTTAAATATCTTGTCATACAGGTTTGTATATGAACCCCTTTATTTTCCTCTATTTTTATTTTATTTTAATGTCTCTGGGGACCTTGTTCTTGTATACTTGTCATATTAGTATTGGTTTAATGGAGGTACGATGGAATAATGTTATTAACTCTACTTATAAAGTCTACTACTCTATATAAATTAGAGAGTTAATTCCCTAAATAGGACTAAAACAGTGAGGAAGTGCGCAAATATGACCCCATGTTTCATAGGCCTAAAAATGATCTTCCTTGACAATTTCGGGACTCGTGTGTGTGTGCGTGTGTATGTGCATGTGCGGGTGTGCGCCACCATGCCAATCTTTTATCCCACTGCCCCCAACGTGTGTTGGGATTAAGATGGTCATGATAATCATTGTTATAAATATTTGTATATTTCCTCAGCCTTGTAAGTCCTAAGTTTTTTGCAGAAATACATTTTCCCATTTTCATGTCTCATTTCTTGCTTCATGGACTATTGGACTCCATTGAGTATATGACCTAAACTCATGTTTGGAGAAAGCTAGTCTTCTCTACCATGTGCTTAAAAGCTGATTTTATTTTCATTCATTTCTGCATGATCATTAAATGAACTATCACATATTCACATTGATTGCTAAACCTATTCATAAAAGGTAAAAAGGCCTGGGTTTCAAAAAGAGAAGATTCACAGCTGCTGGATATGACATTAATCTCCTTTCTTTAATAACATTGTTTTCAACACCTCTTTTTAGTTTTTGTTAAAAAAACGTTTCTGTTGTATACGATATCTAGTTTTGTTTAAAAAAGTAATGGTAACTTACATTGATAGCTGGTATACGTAGGAACTCATTCAGCTATTGTTTATTTGCATACATCGTCTGTCTGCTTCAGTTATTTGCCGCTCCACGGATCTACAAGAAAACAGAAGAAGACTCCATCTATAGCTACTTCCAGGAAACTCCAGATGATCAGTGGGTGAGGACTACAGATTTCACCCAAAATTTGATTGGGCAATCTTCTAGCTTGTGTTTGGAGCTTCCTAAAGGTGTCATATTACCAGATTTTCGTAATAATTTTGTCTTCTATACTGAAACTGAAAGTCAATTCGTTCTAGAGCCCGGTTTACGGTTTTCTAGCAATTTGGATCTAGTTCCAATCATCCATCCTCCACAAGGAGATGCATTGCCATTCAAGTTAGTGTTTAAGATTTGCAGTTTGGTGCAACATGGATGCCTTCCGGGTCCCGCACTGAATGCCAGATTTTTCCGCTTGGTTGATCCAAGGTTGGTAAACATTGATCACATTGAAAATGCCTTGGAGAAATTGTACTATATGAAGGACTGCTGTTATGATCCTGTGAAGTGGCTGACTGAGGCATACCGTAATTTCAAGCATCCTCCAAAATCCGCTTCTATAAATCTAGATGATGGATTGGTTTATGTAAGGAGGGTCCTAGTGACTCCAACAAGGGTTTATTTTTGTGGTCCCGAGGTAAATCAATCCAATCGTGTGCTGCGCCATTACATTAATGACATAGATAATTTCCTCCGTGTATCTTTTGTTGACGAGGAGTGGGATAAAATCCAATCCATGGATTTATCTCAACGTGCAACGGGCAAGACAGACCTTTATGACAGGATACTTTTGACACTAAAAAATGGTATTGTTATTGGTGATAAAAGGTTTGAATTTCTTGCATTCTCGTCAAGCCAGTTAAGAGAGAGTTCGGTTTGGATGTTTGCATCAAGATTTGGACTTACAGCTACTGATATAAGAGAATGGATGGGCAACTTCAAAAAGATAAAAAATGTTGCGAAGTATGCTGCTAGACTTGGTCAATCGTTTGGTTCATCCAGAGAATCTGTTAGTGTTCACAAGAGTGAACTTGAAATTGTTCCCGACATAACGATTATAAAGCAAGGGATAGAATATAACTTCTCCGATGGGATTGGAAAAATATCTGCAGAATTTGCTGAAAAAGTCGCCAAAAAATGTGGCCTGGATAGGTTTGCCCCATCTGCTTTTCAAATCCGCTATGGTGGATTTAAGGGAGTTGTTGCTGTCGATCCCTCTTCGTCAAAGAAATTGTCATTAAGAAAAAGCATGTTGAAATACGAATCAGACAATGTAACACTTGATGTTTTGGCATGGAGCAAATATCAACCTTGTTATCTAAACCGCCAATTGGTATCACTCTTGTCAACTCTTGGTATCAGAGATGAGGTCTTTGAGAGGAAGCAAAGAGAAGCCGTTGCTCAATTGAACGAAATCCTCACTAGTCCTGCAAAGGCAGCCGAGGCTCTTGAGTTAATGGCTCCCGGAGAAAACACTAACATCATTAAAGAGATGCTCATGTGTGGCTACAAGCCTGATGCTGAACCATTCCTTTCGATGACTTTACAAACATTCAGGGCATTTAAGTTGCAAGATATAAGGACCAAGGCACGGATATTCGTACCTAGTGCCAGATCTATGATGGGTTGTCTAGATGAGACCAGAACATTGGAATATGGTGAAGTATTTGTTCAGTATTCAGGTGCCGGACGGAGGCTGTCTCTTGTTGGTGCTCCCCATTCCAATGAAACCAGAGATTGTAATTACATCGTCACAGGAAAGGTGGTCGTTGCAAAGAACCCATGCTTACATCCTGGTGATGTTCGTGTTTTGAGAGCTATTAATGTGCCCTCGTTGCACCATATGGTGGACTGTGTCGTTTTCCCCCAGAAAGGGCAGAGGTAATCCAAACTCCCACCTTCGGCATCATTTCTCTCTATTTTAAAATTGTTTTAAACAATTCGGAATTTTTAAATGCTTTAATTGTTCCTGTTAAAACCTGACTGAACTTTGAGAATGGGTCGAGTGTTTTAATAAAAGAACACAAAGTAAATTTAGAAAAGGTTTTTCATTTAGATTTTGTTATCTAGCTTTGAATTGCTATCTAGTGTACATATACACTTCATTTACGATTTTACGTGGTATGAAATAGTAAATATGGAGGCACACAAACAACTAATGAAATGACACACATCATATTAAATTATGCACTGGTATAATCATTACTCAAATTGAACTTTCCAAACATAACCTAATTCTTAATGTGAGTAAAGATTGTTATTACAGAGGAGACGACTCTCAACAGGAATGTATGGTGCTTCATGTTCCATATAGCAGATCCGACTTAGAAAATTGTCAATGGTATCATTTTCACATTCGTAAGTAGGGTGTGTTCTGTGGTGCCAGCCTGAGCTTTACTGGCATGTCACATTTCAAATTTTCAAATTAATGTATGTATTTTATTTGACTACAAGATATAAAACTGTCCTAACTAAGTATTGCTTTAAACGAACATATATCGTGATGTATAACTTTTATGTTCTCATAAAACAAAATAACTAGGCTTTATTGATTCTTTCTAATTATGTTATTTTACTCATTCATTTTTGGCATGTACTGGTGAATTGTTTAAAATTTGACGATAGACCCCATCCAAATGAATGTTCTGGAAGTGATTTGGATGGAGATATTTACTTTGTGTGTTGGGACCAAGATCTCATTCCGAAGGAAATGAAACCAGCGATGGATTATACCCCTGCCCCAAGCATGGAATTGGACCATGATGTAACAATTGAGGTACAAATTGTTGTGCTATACTTATTTTCCTTTTCAATGCATAGTTAACACTTTACAGTAATAATTTTTCTAGGATACTATGACTTCCGTCCCAAATTGAAAGGTTCTAGTTTAACATTCCTGTTTCTCCTGTCTATTTTGACCATTATTATATACACTTATATTGTTATAAATTCTAATGAATATATATTTTCAAATTACAAATTAAAACAAATTGCTCGACAGTACTTTTTAATTGTAAAGTAATGCATAGTAATGATAGTATATAAATTGGCATTTTCATTTTTGAATTAAGGAGAGTACTATGTTCTTGAACAAGTTAATGTACACTCATTTTAATTGGCTAGCTAGATTTTTTAAATAGAAGAATGTTTATGCATTAAAAAATTGTCTATCTAAGCAATCATCTAGTAGACCAGAATTGTGAACAATAGGATCCTAACAAATTACAATTTGTCTTGTTCTTGCTACTGCTTTGTATCATCTTTGATGCCACACATCCAGCATTAAAGTCTATTATTAAGTTTCTATTTGAAAAATAATCGCTCTGCAGGAAGTTCATAAGTATTTTGCAGACTACATTGTGAATGACAGTTTAGGCATTATTTCAAATGCCCATGTTGTGTTTGCGGACAAAGAAGATAAGATGGCAATGAGTGAACCGTGTCTAGAACTTGCAAGGCTCTTCTCGATTGCAGTCGACTTCCCCAAGACAGGTGTTCCTGCTGAGATACCTTCCCATCTGCGCGTCAAAGAATATCCCGATTTCATGGAAAAGCCCGCTGAAAAGACAAGCTATGATTCTTCAAGAGTGATAGGAAAGCTATTTAGGGAGGTCAAATATATCACTGCACAGCTAAGCTCCATCACATCCTTTACTATAGAAGTTGCGAGAAAATCATATGATCCTGACATGGAAGTGGACGGGTTTGAAGACTTCACTGAAGAAGCTTTTAATTGTAAAACTCGTTATGACTTCAAGCTGGGCAATCTAATGGACTATTATGGAATAAAAACCGAGGCTGAAGTGTTGAGTGGCGGTGTTATAAAGTCTTCAAAATTCTTTGACCGCAGAAGGGATGCGGATGCGGTTAGTTTTGCTGTTAGGGCCTTGAAGAAGGAGGCAAGGTCATGGTTCAAGAAAGGAAGTGAGTCCGGCGAGGACTCATTGGCAAAGGCATCAGCTTGGTACCATGTCACTTATCACCATACATATTGGGGTAGCTACAATGAGGATATGAACCGAGCCCACTTCATCAGTTTCCCATGGTGTGTCTATGACAAACTTAGTCAGATCAAGAGGGCCAAAACAGGAAATAGCGCTCTTCGTTTGGCATCGATTGAACAGCGGTTCAGCAAAGGCTTGGCATTGGCCTGATGTGGTGTGGTTTCCATCTTGTAAACTGTTCATGCTGTAGTCATGACTCCTCTAGGCTAATCTGCTTCACTTTAATTTATGTGCAACAAACTACTCCGTAAAGTTTATTATGCATTTTGGGTGTTTGGATTTAAATAGAACTTTTTGCATTGTTTTTGGTTTTTTGGTTTAAATGTATTTTTAGTCCCTGCAAATATATTACATTCTGTTGACTTCCCGATTGCAATAATATATTTAGAAATTACTTCAAATAGGATTAAAACTATGGCGAAAATTCAAAATAGAACTTGATATGTTTTTATTCCAAAATAGGAACATATTAGTCCTATGGACCTATTGGAAACATACCTATTTTAAATGTTTAAAAGTGTCAAAATATCATAGAAAAATACTAAAAAATTTTAAAAAATATTTATAATTTTTTTTAAATTAATAAAAAATAGTAAAACCCCATACAAAAATAAAACAAATATGGATACTTTTTCCACCGTCTGTACTAACTCCCTGCACCACCACCTCCGACCGGTGTAAAAAATACAAAAAAAAACATATTACTCTTTGACAATGCCAACATTTTCATTATTTCTGCCATAAATATGGCATTCCAAATGCAACTGGCATTTTTTCCTCGGTGACTGGAGGTGGTGGTGCAGGGAGGCAGTACCACCACCTCCGACCGGTGAAAAAATGCCATTTTTTCTAAAAACTGCCATTTATTCTGAAAATATCAAAAAATTACATACTATCTTTCGTCTCTTTTTAATCGCAACATGTTGAATTTTACACTATTCACATGTCCTACTTTGACTACATTTTATTTTATTATTTTATGAAAATTATTATTTTAAAAAAATATTGTTCAATTCATCACATTAAAAATTTCAAAATCTAATTTTTAAATATTTTTTACTAATAGAGATTAAGATATAATTACAGTCAAAGACGTGCGGTTGCAAGTGTGAAATGTTAACCGTTGCAACTAAAAAAAGAACGGAGGAAGTATTACTCTTTGAGAATGCCAACATTTTCACTTTTTCTTCCATAAATATGGCATTTTTTCCCCTGGTGACTGGAGGTGGTGGTGCTGGGGCGGCAGAGGCGGCGGTGATTTTTTTTGTGTTTTTAGTTTTTTATTTTCCATATTTTTTTTAATTTTTTTTTTAATTTTTTGAATTAATTATTATTTATATATATTTTATTATTATTTTTAGTATTTTTACGAATTTTTATTACTTTTTATTATTTTATTATGAATTAAAACATTTCGATAGCTATAAGGCTATATTTGTCCAAGACACACACAATTAGTCCTATGAAAACATAGTTTATATTTTTTGTCCTATTTGTGCAAAGTGACAGACTTTTAATCCTATTTTGATAATTAACTCTAATATATTTTACTGAATTTAGATTGTATTTTAAGTTGAAGTTATGTACACATAATTGACATTTCATAAAGAACATGTTTACAAAATTTCATCAAAAAATTCTATAAAAAAAGAATTTCAAATGGAAGCGGACAGACGGTGTTTTCGGTCAGCCGTCCCAAAAAGGTTTGCCAAATTTTGACCAATGATATTTTGTGGTCAATAGTAATCAATTTTGACCAACGATTTTTTTTAATACGAAATTATTTTTTATTTCAAATTTAAAATTTACTTTTGGTGTTTTTTAAAATTTATTTTATCAATTTAAAGTCAACAAAGGTAAAATTGATCTTTGATAAGAACATGGGGGATATTTTTTCACTTTTTTAAAAATTCAGGGTTGTATATGCACTTCCACATATACTTCAAGGGTATATTTGTTACGAAAAATAGAACATGTGTATATTTGTTCTCACACCCATACTACAATGGTATATTTGTACTTTTTCCCTTATATTAAAATGTTCCTTATCACGAATATTTTCATAAAGTATAATGTTTATTAATTTTATACAAATATAATAATTAAAATTATTTTCCAAAGTTTGTCATCATTGATCAAGAAAAGTCCATATCAAAACCTATGGGTGGACTCGGTCCTGGTCTGGTCCCAATTCCGATCTCGGACTGACCAGTCCCGATTTTGGACCAATCGGTCCCAGTATCTGGTAGGAGATGCTCGGATCTGACTCAGTTAAATCCAGGTATTGATCGATCTTGAGTACCTGGGCGGTCCGATTTTTGTCCCACACTGGACCTGGTCCCATTCTATTTTCTTTTTCGTTTTCAAGGCTAAAAAAGTTGGTCGGTCTGGGACTAGAACCTCCCCGATGTTGTTCCCAAATGGGTGAATCAGGACTGGGACTGTCGGGTACCTGGTCCAACACCAGGACCGGTTTTTACGGACCCGGTCTGGTCCAGTCCAACATAGTACTGGACCCGATTCCGGGCTGGATTGTACGTGTCCACCCCTAAAAAGACCTTTTGGGACGGAGGTAGTATTATACTCCCTCCGTTGCATTTAAAGCTTTCCGTCCACTATTCTTCAGTCAACGTGAATTGTTCTTAATCTTTTACTTTATATATTCAACTTTTATCAAATTTATTTTTTCTTGATCAAGCATTATGAAACTTTTAATGCAATTTCTTATTATGCAAATTTAATTTACTAAAATAATCTTATAAAGGACATAGATCAGTTAATTTTATGATCAATCAAACATCGTAAAACGTGTGAGAACCTTTAAGTGAGACAAATGGAATATATTAGTTGTCCATTTAAACATCATTGTAATAAATACTCATCCTGCATGTTGTGGTTCAGTTTGTGGGACAGATGGGGGACCTTTAAGTGTCTTGTTTTACCTACGGTGTTGTGGTTCGGTTTTTTAAATATACCCGCGAAGATTGAGATGACATGAGGGGGGTTAATGAAGTCTGGCATATATCTGACGTGGATACTAATAGTAGCTACTGCAACTATACATAACAAATTAGAGCCCGTTTGGTAGCACCAAAATCGGCTGTTTTGGCTGATTCTGCTGAAATTTATGATATTCTGGCTGGAGTGGCTGTTTTGGCTGATTCTGCTGATTTAAGAAAAAAATATTTTAAAAATATATTTTATTAATAAATTAAAGAAAAAATTATATGTAAAAATAGCTAAAATGGTCCTCTACAGTAACTTCAGCCAATACAGCCAGAAAAGTAACTCCAACCTTACTTTTTCGGCTTATTACACAATTCAGCGCGCGAAAGTAAAAGTTACGTGTTTGGTGAAAAAGCTGGCTGATAAGCCTGATAAGCCGAAAACAGAGTTCTCCAAACGGGCTCTTAGTTAGGACTGTTTTTTCGTTTAGTTACATATATGTATACTCTTTGTATGTACTCGTATATTAGAATATAGCATGTGCAGTTTAATGTGTATAAAGACTCTACGTAAGAAGTGATTCGAAATATGAATGAAAAATTCTTTTCTTCCTCCTAATTCTGAAATGGTATCAGAGCGCTGAAAGTCTTCCGCCATGGTTCTGGAAACAGAAGATCCAAATAATCCGCTATATCTTCATCATGCTGAAACACCAAGACAAACTCTTATCTCTCTGAAGCTAGATGCAAGAAATTACCATCGATGGAGCAGATTGATGTATGTAGCTCTGTCAGCGAAGAACAAATTAGTTTCGTAGATGGAACGATTTCAAAGCCTGCAATCAATGCTCCAACCTATCTTCATTGGATGGGAGCAAATCATATGGTAATCTCTTGGATTTCTAACAGTTTATCATCCGAATTAGGAGATTTCGCATTATATTCTGATTCAGCTGCACAAGTGTGGAAAGAACTGAAACGGAGATTTTATAGATCTAGCAATAATCACATCTATAAGCTTGAACAAAGTCTGGCTGCAACTAAACAAGAAAATCTTCCTGTCAGTTTCTATTTCTCAAAACTTAGGACAATTTGGGATGAAATCAGTCAATTTGCAGAAAAGACCGTATGTACTAATGATGATTGTGTTGTTCTTAAGGAAATGAATAAAAGGTATGAACGAAAATGCATTATGCAATTTCTCATAAGGATTGAAGGAATCATTTAATCAAGTTAGAAACCAAATTCTCCTTAAGGATCCTCTTCCTAGTCTTGATGCCATATTCAGATTGATTCTACAAGAAGAGGCAAATCAAGAACTCAGCTCATCAGCATATATTCCAGCTGATTCAATGGCTATGGGAGCCCAGTCATATAACAAGAATAATGGAGTTGGAAAGTCAGAATACAAGAAGTCAGGATATGGACAAAACTCTAACAATTCTGGTGTAAACAAACCAATGTGTTGTGTTTATTGTAAGAAGACCACACTGTTGAAAATTGTTATGAGTTAAATGGTTATCTCGCAGGACATAAACTTGCACGTTTCAAGCCTCAGGGTCGTACTCAGCAGCAAGGAGGATGGCAAAATAAGACTAGGGTTGTGGCTAATACTTCAGTACAAGAAGAGGGAAACAATGATCAACAGAATGGTCATGTTGGTTTAACTCATGAACAATATCAGCATTTATGTCTTCTTCTCAAAGAGAATCCTAATGTTGCTTCATCAAATGTGTTCGAATCATCTGAAAATCCAAACCCATCCATCCAAGGTAAATACCTATCTTATAATAACCATGTGTCAGTCTATTCAGCCATTCATCTTAATCATCATACTTGGATTCTGGATTCAGGAGCAACAGATCATATCTGTTGTGACACATATACCTCTTGTTCCCCATACTTGGATTCTGTAATATCATACTTGGATTTTGTAATATGTTTATTCATTATACCTCTTGTTCCCCATTACCTATTCATCTACCCAATGGGGGATCCACTCCTGCTACTCACATTGGATCAGTAGTATTAATTAATCACAATAACTTTCCAAGGTTCTATTTGTTCCCTCTTTCCATATTAACCTCATATCAGTAGCTAAATTAGTAGCTGATAACAACTGTCTTCTTGTCTTCTCAAAAGATAATTACATTTTACAAGATCCAAATACCTTGAACATGATCGGGACAGCTGAGTTGGTGCAAGGATTGTTTCATATAGTCCAAGAGAACACTCCAAAGTCCATTGTTAACAGTCTTTCTTCTGTCAATTCTATAAAGTCTAAACTGTGGCATAAACATTTAGGCCATCCATCTTTTGATAGAATGTTGTTTCATGATATTTTCAAAGATATTCCTATAATAAAGTCACAAGAACCTTGTAATGATTGTCATTTGGGGAAACAACATCGATTACCCTTTCCAAATAATCTGAAACATCCTTTGATCTAG